TGATGATGATGATGATGATGATGATGATGATGATGATGATGATGATGATGCTGATGATGATGATGATGAAGATGATGATGATGATGATGAGGATGACCATGATCGGCAACTGGAACATATACATTACCATTGGCGCGCTGTTTTTCAATCCCAGGACCTTTTGAGGGTCGGCAACGAATCCGGGGTCGTGTGGTGTATACTGGTTTTCGCATTTTCCAGGGGAAACAGAGACACATGTATACACCAGGCTCCCGTATACACCCGGATCCGTTTTCCTGTGCGAGTTTCGGTGCGGAGCCGGAACAATCATCGGTGTATAGAGTTCGGTTCCCTACATGAGAAGGCGCTGAAGGAGGAGGAGGAGGAGGAGGAGGAGGAGGAGGAGGAGGAGGAGGAGGAGGAGCGAAGGAGGAGGGAAGGAGAAGAAGGAGGAGGAGGAGGAGTTTTTTTTTTTTTTTGGAAAACGCACCACCTCTGCAACTCGACGTGGGAGGTCGAATGAGCCGAGGACGACCAGCACGAGCGCCCAGACGAAGAAGAGCAGCAGCACGAGAGGGACGTACAGCTGCACCTCGATGAAGGCGAGACCACCTTTATACATTTACCTTCGGAGACGAATTGACCACACCCAAAACCGAGTGCAATCCAGCGCGCGCAAGCCCACAAATGGGAACCACATACAATGTCAGGAAGCCCGCAGCCACATACACTGCCAGGAAGCACCCGAATCGTGGAAGAAGACACTGCAGTACGCGGTGGACAGCACCAGAAACGAGATGAAGAATTCAGCGTGAAAATCAAGCATACACATTCATATGAGCATGGCGCAGGGTAGCCCCAACATCAGTATATATCCATGAACTCATCCGATAACGCGGCAAAATCGTCGCCATTGAGGTCAAACATAGAGCTATGCCGAAATAGAGAACCACCCAGATTGCTTGTAGGGCCGAAAAGAAAACCTTCCCCAGGAACAGCTGGAAGGTTCCGCGGGTACGCGGCGAGCTCCTCCCTCGGCGGCGACTCCACCTGCACATGCTCGACCCCTCCCTCAGAGCCGTCAGCCGCGGGGGGAGGGTCCCCACGGCTGGATGCTGGGCAGCCCCCTCCTCGATGTTCGTCTGGGCATCCGTCTCGACCACGTCATCGCAAAGAGGAGCCTCCACGATGACGACCTACGGGACGAAGACGGGCGCCTCCGCGCGCAGCTTCCCCTCGAAGCTTCCCGCGGACACGGACTCTCGTGCAGCACGAACCTCGAGCCGCCGTTCAGTCTGGGCGCGACGCAGCTCAGCTGGCTTCGCCGTCGCCACGTTGATGCCGTGCGCGTCCGCGTGCAGGGCCACGTTGTGGCGCAGAGTCTCGAGCCACGAGGGCTCCCTCCCTGCCAGCTTCGCCTGCAGGGCGGGGAGAATTAGCCTGCAGCCTCTGGGCGACCTCGTCGCTGCCGACCAGGCTGCTCAAGGCCATCTCGGCTGCCTCCATGCTGTCGCGGACCCGTGAGAGCTCTTGCGACAACCTCGCGATGGCGTTGTCCGCCGAGGAGGAGGAGGAGGAGGAGGAGGAGGAGGAGGAGCAGCAGCGTTTTTTTGTATGTCCCTTTGCCCACCACCCACCAAGCCACCCCCCAACCCGACCCGAAGGCCCCAATCTGCACTCCTAGAAGCAAGACATGTGGAACCCGCTACCCCCCCTACCCCGAGCCTTGGGCCTCCAGGCTCGGTTGGGGTGGTAAGGTAGGTAGTCGATTGCTGGCGGGACTCTGTGCGGCTCGCAGGCGGGCGGGTGCAGTCGCAGTGCCTTGCTGTGTGCGTGCTGGCGGGCCCGACGCCATGGCCGGACGCGGCGCCGAGGGCGGGCGGCCCCGGCGGACCCCGGCCCGCGTGGGCCGCGGCCGCTGGCCGCTGGGGGCGCTGGCCGCCCTCGGGGCCCTGGCGCTGGCGGCGGGCCGCGGGGCGCCGCTGGCGCCGCCGCGCGGCGAGGCCTTCTCGGCGGCGCGCGGGCGCTTATTTGTTGTACGTTATGCGTTTTTGTTTGTCTGTTTGATTGTTTGTTCGCTCGTTTGTTTTGCTCTCACGGCTTCACGCACACACACACACACGTAGCACCCCGCAGTTGCGGGCAAGAGCGAGGGGGCGGCGGGGACGTCGGCAGCCTGCGGGCCTCTGAGGAAGCCCGCCGCAGGCGCCCGATACTTACAGCTCATACCAACGAGCTCGCCGCGGGTGCCGATTTTTTAGTTAATGCAATGTGTGTGGGTCGCGGGTGGGTCGCTGGCGGGTCGCGAGGTGGGTCGCGGGCGGGTCGCGGGGTGGGTCGCGGGCCAGGTCGCGGGTGGGTCGCGAGAGGGACGCGGGCGGGTCGCGGGTGGGTCGCGGGCGGGTCGCCGCGGGTGGGTCGTGGGTGGGTCGCGGGCTGGGTCGTGGGGGGGGGACGACGACAGCAACAAGCAACAAACAACAAACAACAACAGCACCAACACCACCACCACCAACAACATGCTTTGTTTGAAAGTCTTTGTGACTCTCGATTTTGAAATGCTTACGATACCTGAGGTTTTTGGAAGGATTTCGGCATGCGCGCGCGACGACGCGCAATGCTATTATGTTTTTTGTTGTTGTAAGGAGTTCTTGGAATCGGATGAATCTCGATAAACGAGTGTGCGTTAACCCATCGTGTTTTTGTTCGGGTGTTTTTGCAGAGGATGAGGGGGGGTCGATATCTGGCCTGGCTGGGATGGTATGAATTCGTATTTCGGATGGGCGACGGGGTATAATGATATGTAACTTGCAATTCCAAAAGGTGGCCCGTTAAACCCGGGGGGAGATCGTAATATTGTTCTAGAGAGGAGAATATTGGTTGTGCAATCCATGTTGTGCAATCTACGTGTAGCATTCGATTCGGTGCCATATTTGTGGTGCAATCTATGCTGTGCAATCCGTGCGATCCATAACGGGCGGCGACGAGGCGGCGATGGCGACAATGTGGTCGCTAGACCCACAGACAGACCCAGTTACGGGCAGCGACGAGGCGGCGGCGGAGCGGCGACGGCGACGACGGCCGCCGGACCGACAGAGGCCCAGTGCCGCAGACCAGAAGCAAGAGCCCGCAGTGCAAGCACTGTTTGGAGAAGACGACTCTCTACCACCCTCTCCCCCTGAGTGTTTTTACCACCCTCTCCCCCCTGTGTGTTTTTTCCCACTGTGTGTGTGTGTGTGTGTGTGTGTTTTTGTGTGTGTTTTTCCCACAGTGTGTGCTTTTTCCCACAGTGTGTTTTTTTCCCACAGTGTTTTTTTCCCCACGGGTGTGCTTTTTTCCCACAGGGTGTGCTTTTTTCCCGCAGACTTCTCGACAGTCCCGGGAACGTGGCAAATTACAGAGGGCTCCGCCTCGCCGCTCTCATCTTCCAGAGGAGCGACGTGAAAAAAACAACGGGGCCGTCCGCGCCGACGCTGCCTCGTAGGCTGCCCGCGCGAGGTCGCGCGCAGGCGCCCTCGCCTCCAGCTGCGGCGTGCCACGCTGGCGCCCCGCGTGAGGTCGGTTGTGCCATCTCGCGGGAGGCTCGCGTTTGCTCCTCGCTCGTGTGACTCTCGGCCTCGCCGTTCCTTTTCCGTATGCCCCCCCGTAACGTTCCGCCCACCAAACCACCCCAACCCAACCCGAAGGCGGCGATTTGCCCTCCATTTCCAGTGGGGGGGGGGTCGGGGAACATCGACAAAACACGTGGAACTCGTACCCCCCCCCAACCCGAACTTCGGGTCAAATTCGGGTCTTCGGGTTGGGTTGGGGTGGTTTGGTAGGTAGTCAGAATTCCGCCCCACCGTTCTGTGCGCCGCCGGCCTTCGTGGCCCCCGCGGGGGCCGGGCGCCGCCAGCTTCTGGCGCGGGGGCTGGGGCTGCTGGTCGCGGGCGCGGCGGGTGGCGAGGCCGCCCGGGCCGTCTCTGGCGGTGGCAAGGACTTCGGCTTTGAGGCGGCTGGGGGTCTGATGTGGTTCAGCACCGGTTCTGGCCAGCAGGACCTGGGCAGTTTTATCTTTTATCCAACGCATGGGAAAACCAAGAAGAAGGAGCTTCTTCGACGCTTTGGCCTCTGTAGAGGCCTCGCCGGGCCCCAGGACCGAAAGAGACTCGGGATGAATCTTTGGTCCCTGGGAGTGGGTCGAGACCTTTGGGGACCCCTCATTGCGAGACCTTTGGGGACCCCTCATTGGAACAAAACAAAAACATCGGATCTCTGGCAAAGGGGAGGAGGGGCTTGCTTTCCCCTCTACCCTGTGGAGGCGTTATTGTCATATTGTTGTAGCGGCCTCCAGCGAGTGCCGCCGACCCAGGGCGCCGGGGTTCCCTTGCCCATGCTCGGTTGCTTGGCCGGCTCCAGGCGGGCGGCTGACGAGTTATCTTGGCAGGCAGGTGGCTGGGCGGGTGTTGGCTGCGCTCCAGGCTGCCCGGGCGCGGGCCCAGGCGCTCCCCTGGACCCCTATGGGTGCCCGCCCGGGAGCTCCCGGGAGGCCAGGCAGGCGCCGCCGGGAGCGTGCTGGGCTGCCCAGGCGCCAGCCCCGAGAGCGCCCGGGCCCCGGGGCCAGCCCGTCGGCTCCCGAGGCCGGAAGGCATTGCCGGGAGCTGTCCTGGGTGCTCCATGGCGCCGACCCGAAGGGCCCGGAGCCCGAAGGGTGTTGCCAGGAGCTTGCCGGGCTGGCCGGCACTGACCTGGGCGCCGGCCCGGGCGCCTCTAGGCCCGGGCTCGAACTCGGGCGCCCAGAGGCCCGTAAGGTGCTGCCGGGCCAGGGGCGTTTTGCGCCCCCCCCCCGAGTGAGAGGCGAAGCATCTCAGGCCTTCAATCTTCCTTCGTTCTGGCCTTCTGGTCGGGGGTGGACAGAACCCCCAACAGTGACACGTCGATTAGTGAATTGTCCGTTTTCGGTTTTCGAGAGGGCGCCGCGGCCGTTACTTTCCAGGCTCGCGCCCGCCAGGTTTGGGCCTCAGGTCGTTTTCACTAAACCACGTTTTACTAAAGGGGGGTCTGTCCATCCCCGATCTTGGGCTTCCCGGGCGGCGCTCGTCGCCACCGTTGGGTTCGCCTCGAAATTCTGGCCAGAGCGCACCCTGGGAGAGGCCCAGGGAGTAGTGGTCTCGGGTCTGGGTGCGCGCAAGTCGTGGAGCCCAAAGCGGTGCGGTCCCAGACCCCCCTCGCGTCGTGAAGACATATCGCGACCGCCAAAGCTGACGGGGGCCGGGTCGGGATCTCGGAGGGTGCACGTTGCGACAAAATCATGACGTCTGGGAAGAGCATGCTACGCATGGAATGAATTCAATGGAAATCAATTGCAGTGGATCCGTGAGTGGATCAACCTAGACTGATGAGGCTATGATGCCTCTTCTGAGTCTGAGCCGGCTACGATGCCCGCTCGTGCCCACCCCGCCCCGTCTTCAGGGACCTCGCATCCCCCTATGATGGTAAGATGGGAAGACGGGCCGCCGCCCCTGGCACTGCACGTACGGCGAGAGAGACGGGCGGCGGTGTCGGCTGCGCGTCGCAGTCGACGAACGCATTTGTCGGAGGACCGCGCGGAGGCCTCGGATCGGCACCGGGTCCTCGTCTTGGCGCGCGGGTCGCTCCAGGGGCGGCGCCGGAGGCTCTGCCAGGGGGGGCCAGCGCCGATCACAAACATTCCGCTCGGACCTCCGAGAGTTTAGGTTTAGGTACTGCGTTTTTCGCAGTTTCTTCTTCTCCTTCTCCTTCTCCTTCTCCTTCTCCTTCTCCTTCTCCTTCTCCTTCTCCTTCTCCTTCTTCTTCTTCTTCTATTTCTTCTTCCTCCAAAAAGTGGCCCTTCGCCGGAGAGACCTCTGGTGCGGGCACGATGAGATCCCCCGATCGCTGATTGCGATGCGATAGCCGCGGCTTTTGTGTTGAATTTGCCCCCCCCCCCCCCCCCCACCCCCTCCCCCTCCCCCCCCCTCCCACGTCCCCCTGAAGCCGCGCGCCAAAGGGTCACTCTTTCCCTGGGAGGGACACTCCCTGCGCGCAGCCGAGAGGACTACGCGGGCCTGAAGCTGACCACGTCCTTCAAGGGCGGGGACTACAGCAAGGGGAGCAAAACACCGGCGCGAGGACCAGCCTTCGGAGGCCCGCGCGCCTTGTCCTGGGTCGGTGCTGGACCCCCCCCCCACTGACCGCGCCTCTGGCGCCGCCCCCGGCGCCTTCCACGCGCGGGAGGAGGGACGTGGGAAGAGTGGGTCAGCGCTAGCCCAAGGACTCCGCGCGGGCCTCCGAAGCTCCCGTTCACGCGGGGGTTCTTTGCTGCTCTGGGCAGCGGCAAGGACTTCTCGGGCTGCAGCGCCCAGTCCGTGGACTTCACGAAGTCGGCCTTCCGAGGGAACCGCTTCTTCAAGGCCAACCTGGAGGGCGCGGACTTCAGCGGTTCGGACCTCTCGGGCGCCTCGCTGGAGGGCGCGGACCTGTCGGACGTCGTGTTCGACGGGGCCGTGCTGGACGGGGCGTACTTCACCGAGAACATCGCGACGGTCAAGAGCATGAAGGGTGCCACCTTCAACGACGCCCTCGTCCCCACGAAGGCGGGGGCCTCGGCGTCCCAGTCCCGTCGGCCGTGCCCCCCCCTTGCCGCGTTTTCTCGCTTACCCTCCTCCTCCTGCTCCTGCTCCTCCTCCTCCGCCTCCTCCTCGCTCCTGCTTCTCCTGCTCCTCCTCCTCCTCCTCCTTCTCGCTCCCCCCGCCTCCTCCGCCTCCGCCGCCTTCTCCTCCTCGCAGGCCCTCTTCCTCCTGCCCCCGCTGCCCTGCCCCCCTGGGCCGCGGCGAGGGCCCGACCTGACCCAGGCTGCCTCCCTGAGGCAGCGGTCGCCGATAGGGCTCTGGAGGATCCCGGTCTCACAGTGGGGCTCTCGCGTGCGACTTCCTAACACGTCACTCGGATAGGCATGAGTTTGGTCAGCAGTTACATGACGGATGGAAGGCGGCACGAGACCGTCCTCGCATTCTCTTTTTGCAGAAGTCTGGTGGTGTAGTTGAACGGGTGGATGGCGGTTTGTTTCCAGGATTGGGCTCAGGCGGATGAGATTGTCGCGACTCCGGAGGGGGGTTCCAATATTTTGCTCAGGAGAAGGAGGAGTGTGATTGGAACGGCGCGAATCGGGAGGGAGGCGGATGATAATGAGGATTTGGATGGTGAGGGGATGATGATGATGATGCTGCTGATGGTGATGATGAGGATGATGATGATGATGATGAGGATGATGAGGATGATGATGATGATGCTGATGATGCTGATGATGATGATGATGATGATGATGGTGATGATGATGCTGCTGCTGCTGCTGCTGCTGATGATGATGATGATGATGATGCTGCTGCTGCTGCTGCTGCTGCTGATGATGATGATGATGATGATGATGATGATGATGATGATGATGATGATGATGATGATGATGATGATGAGGAGGAGGAGGAGGAGGAGGAGGAGGAGGAGGAGGAGGAGCGGGGGCACGAGCGGGAGGACGAGATGTCGGGTGTCTGCGGAAGGAGCATGGGGATGAGGAAGAGAAGGAGGCGGAGGCGGAGGACAACAGGAGCAGGAGGTTGCAGTAATTACGGTAGGTCCGTGTCGTGTCGACCGGCGGCGACCCCGCCAGCGGCGCTCAACGCTGAACGCCGCGGGCGACCCAGAATCGTTCGATGTGGAACGATTTCGACGTCTCGGAAACGGCCGATCGCTCAAGGGTGAACGATCCCCGGGGTGTCAGAAACCAACGCCACGACGCGAACCTGACGCACCCAGGCAGGCCTGCCAGTGCTGGGCGGGCCCCGCCGGTGCCAGCTTCCATGACTTGTCTTGAGTCGGGCCTGTCCCTCTACGGGGAATTTTCAAAACTAGTCAAACCATAGTCTGGGGACGTTTTTTTTTTTTTTTTTTTTTTTTTTTTTTTTTTTTTTTTTTTTTTTTTTTTTTTTTTTTTTTTTTTTTTTTTTTTTTTTTTTTGCCATTTTAGGGTATTTTTGGAGTACTTGTAATTTTTCGCCCAAAATCCGCCTGTAGGGGGACATGCCCGACCTAAGACTCGTCTGTGCCGTCGTCGGGGGTGCGCGCGCCTGACCGCCTTCCTCGTCCGATCGCGCGCGCCCGACTCTCCCCCGAGGTCCTCGGCCAGCTCTGCCGGCGGGCCGACGTGCAGGCGTCCGAGGCGACCAAGGAGTCCCTCATGTGCCCCTGAGGGGGTCAGAGGAGGAGAAAAGGTACCCATACCTCTACCCTTAGGTCGGGCCTGTCCCCCTACAGGCGAATTTCGGACGACAAATGAAAGATAGTCCAAACCTACCTCAAACTATGCAAGAATACTCTAACAATCGTCCCCAGACTATTATTTCACTGTTTCTGAATATCCCCCCTGCAGAGGGACAGGCCAGACTTGACTCTACCCTTCGCCCGCTTTCCCCCTCTTGGGCCCCGCGGAAGCCCTCGCTGCCGCCGCTGGATTCGCCTCGAAGTCCTGGTCAGAACGCTCCCCGGGAGAAGTCCTCCTCCTCCTTTCCCTTCCTCCTCCTCCTCCTCCTCTTCTTCCTC